AAACACAGCCCACTGTGAACATCCTTGTAATTCGCTTCAACCATTTCGAACTTTATGAATGATTATTTTAGGTTCAAGTGGTGCGTGTGAAAGGAACTGGAAACAAGCAGAATACGGCTATTTCTAAAGGACGCAGTGCCATCTGCTGTTAAAAACTCAGCTCAGAATCGATTCAAGAGAGAATCGCGATGCCTTCAGAAAATCTCAGAATCGATGAAGAATCATTTCTCGATTTGCGATGCATCGATTTATTGTCCCAGCCCTACAATATTATAATCACGGTTATTTAACACAAGTATGAGTGGGCTATATGACCAAAACTTTATATGAGTGATTTATTTAAAGATAGCAATATATATCAAATATATATTTTCTGTATAAATAAGGTTGCTATGATATCTACATTTTAGATACGTTGTAATGTTCACAATTCTCAATACCACAGCAGAATACTAGGGTAACTCAAAGTCCTTAAAATTATGAAAAAATAATTAAACAGTCAGTAATACAATAAAAAATGCAAAAAACAAATACAATAGAAAAAAAGATACAAATGAAACAAACAGTGCTTTACATTTTTTAACCTGTTAGCATTCCGTGATACACTGCGTGGTTTAGGCGTAATTTTACAGGAATGCTAAGGGGGTTAAGCAAGTCTAAAGTATTAAGCTAACAGCCTACTACACAAATTAAATAATTGAATGTAAAATAAAACAGCATAGCCTTCACAGTAAGAATTAAACTTGCTTTGGTTCTCATTAAAGCTACAAAAGTCCTTCAGTCAAGAGCAGTGAGTGATTTTGTCTTTGTCTTTTGTTGTTTGATTAATATGAAGCACACAGTTGGCAGCAGGAATATTAGGCTGCTGTCACTTTAAGAGCTGCATGGATCCAATTTACTGTTAAACATGTATTTTCATTCTCAACTGTTTACGTTCACTTAAGACATAACGGTCGAGCATTTACGTGAATAATCACCAAGCGCCGCATTTTGACACATTTTTGTGTGTATTTGACACGCGAGTTCTCTTTCGTGCTTCTAAAAAAACAATCAATCTAATAAACTTTAATAAATCAAGCACATCCCATTTTGTGAAAGTCACATCGAAAATGTATTTCAATTAATTGCACAGCTCTACCTCTAACACTAGAGTTCTCTATTCTTTTTTCTTTCTATTCTATTCTATTTACTTGTTTTCTTTATAATTCTGATTGGCTGTCAATGCTTTCATCATTCATCAGCTAAAAAAAATAATAATCTAAATCGCTCAGATTTCAACAATATTGTTTCTCTGTGCAGTTATCGTTAGTTGTGCTGTGGAATCTGCTATTGTTTTATATTTAGAATTATTGTTTTGAACTATATCTTTATCTTTATTGTACTTGGTGTGAACGTGCCTTTAGGAAAGAAAAGAGAAAAGTATTGAGGATTGCAATTGTCAGAATAACAGCTTGCCAATATTTCTGAACAGAGAGTCTCCTCTCGCTACAGATTGTCACAAGTTCAGTAGAGGCCATTGAGGAGATTCTCCACCCCAAATGTCATTTATGTTGGCAAACAGAAAGTATTCATAAATATGGCTGCAAACAGCAATTTTTGGGGCAGAGCAAGTCAGAAACAAAGTGACAAGCTAAGCAAGCATGGCAGGGAAGCATCCGAACAGTAGAATAAACTACTTATTAGCTATATTTCAACATCTGCTTCTGCAGTCATTTACTCAGGAATATTATTAATATTAACTAATATAATGATACAAACTAATACTAAAAACATTTCAGTTATGGGAACAATGGCAATATCTCTTTTTTTTGGCAAATCATCATTCAGCGTAACAGATATATTTATGTAAAAATGAAACAATATACTTATTCTGACCTTTACTTATTAAAATACATAAAAGAATATGTGATCATAGTCATTAGGGCTGAGTTTTGACACAAATTTCACGATTTGATTCGATTCTCATTCACAAGCTTTCGATTCAATTCGATTCGATTCGATTCAATATCGATTATTTTGGATATATATTAGGTACAGTAGGCCTACTTGCCAAATTTTCTCAAGGAAAAAAATCTCTCAACTAATGCTGTAAAATATACATGAGAGTCAGTTGGTACTACATTACTATAACATTGAAGGTTAAAATTGACTGATTTGTTAATTACACGATGAAGACACTTAATAAAGTTTTTAAAATAATAAAGTTACAATTACATAATATTTCTATTTCAATTCGTTTTTTTTATATAAACAATGGTGGCTGTCATAAAAATTGATGGATTTATTCAAACAAATTAAACATTGAAGAACAGTAAAATTTATAATGAATATGTTATATGGTAGGGCTGCACGATTATGACAAAAATCATAATTGTCGATTATTCCCTTGAAATTGTAATTGCGATTATTACTAATGAGTTTATGGTCACAGAATATGTTTGCTTCTGAGGTAAATGTGACGTTACGTGACATTGTTTACAAGACGTTATTGACGCCTTTGCGCGGCTGAAACCCATTTAAGAATTGATATCGTTCCGTAAAAACGAGAATCGATTAATATTGAGATATCGATATTTTTTACACAGCCCTAATAGTCAAACTACATTTTAAATGAATTTCATTTGCATACACACAAATTTGTGCGCACGCATGCTTAGTGAATGAGACCCAATTAGGGATATGCCGGTATCCATCCAGAGCATCTCTCACATGTTCCGCCATGTGCTTCTGGTCCGCCTTGTTTACATCAGAGTGCGCATGCTCTTTCAGCTGCATACAGCAGTGTTGTGCATTTTGACCAGTTTATGGGAAAAGTATTGTTAAAATGCATTAAAAATTCTGAATAATTTGTAATATATAATTATTCACGGTATTTAGAAGTGCCCACGATAACAATATCGTGCACATGCATTACCGTGATATATCACATTACCGAATACCGGCACAAGTCTAGACCTAATGTTTGTTGTGAGACGAGAAATATTGTAATATTAGCCTATAATACACTCAACAATACTTTGGTTATCTAGTGGTTAGGTGCATCAATGGATTCATTTTAGGGTCTAATTTAGTGTCAGTGCAGTCGGTTCAGCTGTCTCACAGGACAGATTCAGCAATAATGGCTTCTTACAGTGTGTCCTATTTTCCTAGGAGTGGGAGAGCTGGATTCAAGAACAATGTCTTCTGGCGAGAGAGGAAGAGGAGGCAGAGGAAGCCGGCAAGCCAAAAAGAACACCTACATACATTGACACGCGCCATACTGAAAACACAAGCTCTCCATTACCAGGAGGTTTAGGACTTCCTTTATTGATGTTTCTGAAAAATCCTGTTCAAAATTTGGTCAACCTAAAAGCACAAATCAATATCGATAAAAACCAGGCGGCTCAGTTAACAAGGAAATGGGATCGTCATTATTTCAGTCGCATCCTTGACATGAGACAACTTCTCTGACCTCCAGGAGAGAAAGTGCTTCAGTGGAGACACACATCCACAACTCCTAACAGTGTCTCTGGATGAGTGAATGTCAAAATGAATGAGATCAGTTTATACACGCGCCGCCCCTCAGGCAGAAAATCACTCTTCTAATTTTACAAATCTGCAGCGACAGCTGAGTTTTATGATAGCCAGAGTGACAGGACAAGTTGTTATTCCACCTTTATGTTGACATGTTAAATTGGTTAAGTCTAACCAAAACATGAACATGGGTAATATTTTGATATTTACTTTGAATTTAATTTTTAAAGAAACCTTTAAAATATCATCGGGGAATGCCATTTCCCCCCACAGCCAAAAGAAAGGAGCAATATTTTGCATAAAAATAAGCCTATATTTAGAACCAGTGTTATTTTAGTAGCCTATCATTGATACATTTTTGTAGTTTTTGTTAACATTTTGAATGTTTGTATTAGGGCTGCACGATAAATCGCAGCTCGTCAGTGAACAACGGCTCTGTGTAGTAAATGCTGCTCCATGTGAAAGCCCGCACGTGATGGAGATTTACCGCTGATTACAGAACCAGCTTTACTGACAAGATGCGCATTAAATATCGCATGCGATTTATCATGCAGCCCTAGTTTGTATTTTTATATTCTTGTTTCTTCATATTTCATTTTAAAGTTTTAGCAACTTTTCATTTGTGTGTTTATATATTATATATATATGTATATATATAAGGGCGATTATGACAAAAATCATAATTGTCGATTATTCCCTTGAAATTGTATTTGCGATTATTAATTACGATTATCACAATTTACACTGTTTTTTTTTGGGTTGAAAGTAATTCATGTAAATTAATGTATCAATGCAAAGTTTCATTTTCTAAAATTCTTTTTAAATAAGGTTCAGCAAATATTTATTTTTGGTCCTTTGGTTTTGGGGTGAAATAAGTCTCATAAACTCTCTTCGAAGGTTTAGCCAGATTCGCCCAGTTATTGCTTATCACGTGATGAAATCACATTAATTCATATTTTAATATATAGGAACTGATTTTAAGAAATTTCCAACCATCTGAATGTCCCATTTCTATTTAATTTGAATGACTGTATAATAATAATGTTACTAATAAAACGTTTTAAAGCACATTAATGCATCTTTAACATAAAAATATCAGTGCTGTTACATAATTTATGTTTGTTAAATATAAAACAACACTTTTGCAACATCTGAAACCCTATTTCAGATACCCGTTCGAGCTGTGCATGTAAACAACAGGCTCAAAGACTGATCAGAAAACAGCTGGTTAGTAAAGAAGAGGTTGGATTTGTGTTCATTCCAACAGTATGGTCTGGTTTAGATGACAGGTCAGTGGCTAGCCTACTAGCAGCCTAAGCTACTAGCCCAGTAATCTAACCGGAACCAGTTAAACTGAAACCACAGACTGGTTGAGTGCACTAGTTCAACATCAGAGCAGTTTGATTGACAGGTCTCACGGTGACTGTCACACTGCCACAGACGCGCTGTCGGACTGAATTAACCTGTTTTAAAAACTAGTTACTCACTGCTGGTCGTCTTCAGAGTTTATAGGGGCTCCTGGTTCTGGGGTGTCCTGGACTGGCTCTTCGGGTCGGGCTTTGATACTGGATTTGTTCTTCAGGATCCCTTTAATGGGTCGCGGTGCTGCCATAACCGTCAAACCCACCCACAACTCCTCTTTCACACTGTTTACACCTCAAACAAACGACCAAAACTCGCCGAGGCGCTTCAGAAACAACAGCCTGGCTTAATGTATTAACCGCTGATGTATTGCGTGCCTACAAATGAGAGTTAAACGCTGTCTGTGACTAAAGTTTGTGACCGTTGATGAGTAGAATTCTGCCGGAGCTCGCGCACTTGCCCATTTACAGCGGGGAAAGGAAACAGGGCGCCGCAGTCAGTCTCGCATTCTCTGTTATCGCGAGAGTTGCAGCGTTGCTATAGAAACATAACTCTAACGCGTCAAGCGACAGTCGCCATGTTTGTTGGGGCTGTGAGGTCAAGCGCAGTAGTCACACTTGTGCATTTTGCCAAAGTAAACTTAGTAAACTTAGCTTTTGGGTAGCGCTATATTTAATATTTGACGGCTGAGAACAAGGCTGTACAGTGCATTCAATGGATTGTACTGTAATTTAACAACATGCTGACAACTTTCAATAGACAAACACCATAAAACAGTTTTGAAAGTTGAGTTGAGAGATACTTGGTCTGGTTTACACAGTAAGTACCATGAATTTAGGAGTTTTCGTTGTAAATAGAATTAAGTAATTATCCATATATCCATGTTGTTCCTCATTCTGACAAGAGCTGCTAAATAAGTCTTTTGCTAGTCAGAAAAGATCATATTTTGCTAGTAGTACCAATAATGGCTACATTTTTCATTTGTCTGAAAGCAACTTTTGTCCGTTTTTCTTTAGCTTGATTGTAAATATCCAACATCTGGGGGGACGTTTACATGACATTGTTTTCAACAAAACACTGAAAACGTTTTGTGATGTTTGGCCATTCATTTTCAGGGGGCCTGAAAACACAAACTTTTGAAAAGTCTCCTTGTAAACTACAAAAACACAAATCTGTGAAAGTGCTGATGTTATGTGCATATGTATTATGTGTTCAGTCTATAGGTATGAGCGCAGGCACATGGTGTTTCTATACAAAGATATCTTTCACTTTCACTTCTTTTTTTTCAAAGTGGCATCGCCAACTACTGGCCTAGCATGAATTTGAGCAGTTTTCATGCAGACAAAAAAAATAGATCTTAGGTAACAATAATTCCTATTGCTTTTCATCAGAAAACCAGCAGTCCTTGATGTCTGGATGCATGTTACATAAATATATGCATGTTACATAAATAAGCCTAATGTAAGTATGCTGTTAAAGAGCACCCTTTGACAGCAATTTCAAGGCCAGAAGACCTTTAGTCCATTAAACCATAAAGATCGTGTTGAATTATGCTTGTGGGCTGGCTGTGTAGTTATGTCATTGTTCGCCTCTCAAGTTAGTGGAAACGTAGGCTGAGGGTTTTCAGAGAGGATGGCAGAGACCCCGACACAGCACCATTTCAGTAGCACGGACAGCTTTTCACAGTGAACACTGAACAGTCATGCAATGGCTGCTCATCAGGGACCACTGATGCTGTAAGGCATGTAGACTACCTGCAACGGTCTGAAGTTAAAGGATTATTTGGTTTGATTCAGAAATGTTTCCCAAGCTGGAGGTCTAGATCACCACAAGGGGGCAAAGTTCCCTCAGGTTACACACATGTTAGACTGCACCCCATAAACACAATCAAGCCTAGAAAAAAAACAGTGAACCACCCCTTTAAATATAATTTCCAGTAAATATCAGACAGACCATGCTGGTCAACCAGCACCACACCAACATTAATAAAGCCATTGCAACTCATGCTAGTTGCCTCAGTTTTTCTTTCTTTCTGTCTTTAATTTTTTTATTTTCCTTGTGTCTACCAGGAAAGGCTGTCTCACCACAGCCCAGTTCACGATAGATGAAGATTTCCACAGACCTGATTAATGGACTTTATAACCGGATAGGGTGAGGCCTCCTCCGACTGATGGTCCTTTGAGAATCCCTTACATCAGCAAAACTAAGGGCACTATATGGTGCTTTCCCAGTATAATCTACAAATTGTAGTGTTTATAGAAAAGTGCCTTTTTTACCTCCATGTGTCTTATAATAACAGAAACAAAATGTGAGCAATCCGTGCCTGAAATAAAGCCTATATTCAGCATATTCAGTTTGTGAATATGAACTTCAATTATCACGCCTGTTGGACACCGTACCCCCTCATTCAAGGTAAATAGCTAAATAAATATTATTTTCTTTGGTAATTGATACATTAAAAAATACATCAAAAGTCTTCATATAAAATTATGCATTTCAGAATTGTATTATCCTATTTGATTTTTTTATTTTTTTTATTTAGGAAGTGGCATGAAGTGGAGGAAGGATGTTCAGTCTCAGGTTCATAACATTTCATTAAAGACTTGCTTTAAATTTCATATATTCCTATTTGATACGTTGAAATTAAAACTCTTTTATAAAATATCATGAAGTGGAAGAAGGCTGGAGGTCTTTCTTGACATTTTATTTGTTATTTTGTATTTTTAATCTTAATTCAATACATTGCAATGAATATAGCATGAAGTGGTAACACACAGATAACAGTTCTGTAACTAAAATAAATAAAAAGGGTGAAACAGGACAACCGTCTGACACTTAGAAGTGCTGAAGCTAATTAAGACAGAGCTGTTACTATCTCTATAAAACATTTCAATAACATTAACAAAAAAATCACCAAAACCAAATAGCTTGAGAGTCTGCAAAAGAAATCCATGCTCAAGGGTGTCAAAAGCTTTGTAAGCTTTGACTTTTTTTGATAAAAGAATCATAGATTTGACCAAGTGAAGTCCTGTGTGTCAGGATGAACAACAACAACAACAAAACTCCAAGGATCTGTGAGGGAGAGAGAAGAACATATTGATAAAACATTATTAGAATTAGTGTGGAGAGCATCTTTGCTTCTAGGAGGAAATCTGTCCAGTGTGTTCATCTAAACATTCATTAAAATCGCCGCCTAAAATTAGAAAAGAGCCTGGGTATTTATTATGCATTTCTGTCAAATTACATAATCTGAGGAAAATAATATTTTGTTAGCAGAAAGAGAATTACAGCCATATAAGTTGCAGATAATAAAGATAAACTCTGCAGGACACCGGCCCTCCAGGACCGAGTTTGGACAGCCCTGTTTAGAACAAACAAGATAACCTCATATAATCTTATATAACAATCTTGGACAAGATAACTACTTTTTAAACATGAAAAAAAAGGTCTTTATAAAAATATGCCAACAATAACTGGCACAATGTAAAGATTGTAAAAAGATAATCAGTACTAACAAAAATTAAGCATATGACTTGAGAGTCGAACTAAGCAGTACTCACTGGCCTGGGTATTTATTATGCATTTCTGTCAAATTACATAATCTGAGGAAAATAATATTTTGTTAGCAGAAAGAGAATTACAGCCATATAAGTTGCAGATAATAAAGATAGAGTTATCTTGCTTTAGTGACATAATGATTCATCTGCCTTCACTAGAAGTTATTACCTCAGGAATTTGCCCCTTAAATTTGTGCAAAAGAGTGATAAGACCCCAGCAGAATGATTAGAACCATGGCTACAATAAATTAAATTGCCCCATTGATTCTTCCAGAATTTAACATCCAACTCACAAAAAAATTTGGACAGCCCTGTTTAGAACAAACAAGATAACCTCATATAATCTTATATAACAATCTTGGACAAGATAACTACTTTTTAAACATGAAAAAAAAAGGTCTTTATAAAAATATGCCAACAATGACTGGCACAATGAAAAAATTGTAAAAAGATAATAATCAGTACTAACAAAAATTAAGCATATGACTTGAGAGTCAAACTAAGCAGTACTCACTGAGGATTGAATCATTGAAAGATCAATCTCTAGCCAAATATGAGGCACTTGTCTACTGAGCTAATCAGCTAAAAGAAGCTGACAACTACCTAAATACAGGGAGAACAGAAGAATGCATATACATCCTGCTTCACACTGGCATATTCAAATCTCTTTCCGTCAATCAGAGAAAAAGATCCATGGAAAGAAGCCTTTTCCCCTTCATCTCTGGCCTTCTAGACCAGGGGCCAAATTCTTCTCTTGCCACCCTGTCTTCTGGGGATCAGGCCTCTTTGAGTCGTAGCTTGTTGTCCCACAGAAATGTACTATCTCTGGCAGCTTGCCAGACAGTGTCCTGGTAACGACGAAAAGCAAACAAGATAATTATAGATCTGCATGTACCATCCTTTTTCCGCGGGCCGAGACGATGGGCGATATGCACTGCTTCCTCCATCCTGTCACCGATGCCAGGTACCACATTGCTCATTGATCACAACACTACAGACGTCTTCTCCATCCTTTTCTTGTACCCCATGCAGCTTCAGTGTCCACCTCCAACTGTGCCGCTTGCACGCTCCAACTTCTTCTTTTAACGTTGTGTTCATCTGTTTAAGATCCTGAATCTCAGCAGACATGACTTTCAATGCCTCTTTGTGAGTAGTTACCTCAGTAACAAGCTGATGTACGGTCGAAGACAAACTTTCAGTTTGCTTCGCTGTAACGCCAGTTGTCTTGACAATTGTTGAAATTTTCGGAAACATTTTGTCACATTTACCGGAAAATTCACGAACTGTGGCCAAAATTTGTCATCACGCTCACTGCATTCTCGGTAGCAACTGGAGCTCCTGCCCATAAATTTGGCTCAAAATGAGAAATTAATTAAAAGTCTTGTTTATGTGTTCATCTATATAAAATATTTGAGCTATGTTGGTTGTAATATCATCCAACCTCAAACTTTCCTGAAGACACTTCAAAAACACCTCCTCCAATCTCACCGCCATCTTGGCTCATAAGTTTCAAAAGTTTTTTTTGTTTTTCGAGTATAGCCCTGTATGATGTCATAAAGGGCGGAATTCCTTGTATGGGCACTTCTCCCAGAAGAGCGCGCGTGCTCGCGACTCTTTAGATCCGCCCACGACATGCCTCCAGGAGCTCGGCTGTTTACAGATGGCGCTTTTCCAATGCATGGTACGGTTCGGTCCGGTTCACTTTTGGGGGGTTTTCCACTGGGTACAGTACCTGGTACCTGGTACTTTTTGTAGTACCACCTCGTTTGAGGTTCCAAGCGAGCCGTACCGTTACCAAAACGTGACGTGTAAACTCTGCTGATCACGGATTGGCCGGAGAGAATCGTCACTACCTGCGTCACTGAACTTGCGACACGAGACACAACAGACCCGCTAGATTTAAATCAGCACAGCCAGCGAAGGATCGAACACAACTGTTTTGAACGAGCGCACC